GCCGGCTTTGCGAGTTCAGCAGTTCAGCAGGTTGTAGGCCCTAGGGCCCTAGCCTCTCTTCGGAGTTCAGAAAAAAACGCGCAAAAAAACAATGTCAAAGCCACCGTCACCACCGTCTGTGTCGGTATTGTTCTGCTTGAAAGGTCTTTTTTACCTGCTGGTACCTGCAGATAAGGCCTTGTTGTTTTGAAGCTCGTGGCTTAGTTCATATTTCCACAGCTTCCAGAGTTCCGGATGTAATGGATCTCTTGTGATATGCTCCTCAGAAGTCTTCTGCTGGCCCCAGCGAAGTAGGACCGCAAGCACAGCAAAAGCCAATGCCGGGAGATGTTCGCACGAACTGCGGCCTACGCGGACTCCGACACCCCCCAAGGCTCTGTAATTCGATTGGCTGAACAGATCTCTTGACTTTAGCTGCTGTCCATGTGGCTACGGAGACTTTGGGCAAGTTTGTGGCTTCACTCCCCATCAGAGCGCTTGCGAACAACAAAGCGGGTGGGAACAAAAAACAGCACCAGACATCAATCGTAAAGCAAAACGCTTTTGGGGACTCCAAAGAACGACTTCTACCTGAAATAGCAACCTGCGCTACAGCCAGGTTTCATATGCAGTGAGGCGCCTCTCGGTGTCATTTGCTTGGGCACAAGCGGACTCGTTGTAACAGGCCTCGTACCTTGGTCGGCCGAGAGCCGTTCTCTTAGCAGACTCAAGAAACCCGGCCGAGACAATTCGCTGAGTGGCGGGGGGCTGAGGAAACCGGGGAAAAAATCAAAAGCTCCATACTCCAGGCTGTGCATTTCATTCTGGATGCACCTCCACGTCTGCGCTCCACTCACTCACTCCGCTGAAGCAACTCTCAACATTTGTAACTCTTAACCATCCTAAGTAACTCCTTACATCCAGCAAAGCTGAAGGAGGTGATGTGAACAGTTCAGTCGTGAACCCTACTGCCTCGAAGTTCTACATGCGGCCCGTGTCAGGTTTGCTAGCAGATTCACCACAGACCCTTCTCCCTCCACCTCAACCTAGGCGCGCAGGGAGGAAGAAGATGTCGGCTGAGTCTGGGTCCTGCAGAACGAATGCTTAATTTCAAAATGAAAACCAGCTGAAAAGCGGCAAAAGACTAACAGCCACTGTGCTGTGTCCGCAAACTTCGACCCTAAACCTCATGCAACATCGTAAACCCTAAACAGTTCAACATCTTGAGCAATCCTCCGTCAGGCAGCTGCCGCTTTCCAGCCAGCGGTGGATTTGCACGGATGCGGTGCACTGCGGCATCCTTGGCTGCTCCATTTCCTCGTAGCCCTGTCTTGAAGAACTCCTTGAAGAAGCAGGGCCTAAAGCTCAAGCACCACGGTTCTTTGGGGTACATACTTTTCTCCCAGATGTGCCTGCCGGGACAGTTTTTAGGCTTAAATCCCTGGCCTCCTACCATCTCCCACCCCCGCACCCCCCGCCCTGCCAAGTATCTTCTGGGAGCAGCGCAGCAAAGGCCGGAGCATGTGCGCGTACTGCGGCAGGCGGTACCTCAGTTGTTGCTCTCTCCCGTGATCCGGAGAGATGGACCATGACCTTCAACGTAGCCAAGGTGCATGAAGACTTTCAAGCTGCTTCCGTGGCACGTGTGCCTGCCCTCCAGTCCCAGGAGCCTGGCAGTTGCAGGGCAGATGCTAGACACCTGGAAGTAGTCTAAGCGGTCTCAAGATTAAACTCCACTGACACGACTGCACCCACGGCGTCTCTTCAGCAAATGCGACAGCTTCAGGACTGAGTCCCGTAGTTTATACTACGGAGGGCTAGAATTGACAGACAGAGTATACAGAGTCAGCGTAGCTCCCCCCCTAGTTCTCGACTTGATCTCGGTCGCGGACATTGCTCCCTCTCATCCCTCTCATCGAGCGACTGAAGGGCTAAATCATTGACTGCTGCCGAGGAAGCCGAGGCACATGCTCGATGGCCAGATCCTGAGTCCTCCCAGGCACAGCCCCGGAACGAAAATTGTTGTGGGCAAAGATAGCATTGCCCAACTCTTGAGCTGGACTCATAAACCCGATACTGCATACAGTGCGCCCAGACTGGAATCCAAAACCCCTGACAAGTGAAACCACCCCAGCATGATCCCTAGAATCACTCCTCCAGGGCACAGCATCCGTGTGGGCAGCGTGGGGCCTCGCGGCTGCGAGCTCCAGGCGCTTCCGAAATACCTGAGGCAGCCTATAGTATACAGATAAGGCCTTGTTGGGTTTAGGATGGGGGGATCCCTACAACCCCCCGGTATCGCTCAAGGTCTCGACGCTAGGGGCCTAGAGGTATTTGTCGGTGCCTGCGTTGTTCTGAATTCTGCTTGTGTTGCACACGGGACACAACCGGAAAGCAACCAAAACAAAGCACATTGTGGCTTAGCGCTTCAGGATACCGGGCTCCTTCTCGCGAATCCCTAGCATCGCCAAGCCGTGACAAGAGTAACTCCAGGACCCCACATCCCGACGATTCCCGAAGTCTGGCCTGGGCGGCTTTCTCTTGCCCGTGGTCTTGGTCGAGGATCGCGATGACCAGGTCAATGGCTGCGATCACACCTTCCTTGGTCCGAAACGAAAACTTGAGTTACATAACTCGCTGAATTGCAAGGCCATCAGAGGTGGCACCGGGAACGCAACGCGTTCTTGAAAGCGCACCCAGGCTTCTGGACAGGCAGCCTCGTCCCTGGCCAACTGAGCGGAGCTCTCCACCCAGGCCAGGGTCCTTGTGACCAGGTCTGCCATCAGGTTCTGTGAGAGATAGTGCCCAGTCCTCGAGCCGCACCACCATGCACTACCAACTGCCACCCCAAAGTAAGTCGGAACAAGTTAGGACAGTAAGGATATCCTCACGATGGAGAACCATGCCCAGTATTACAAAAGGCGATATATGACTGGAAAGGCGAGTCTCTGCCCATAAGTGTGGCTGATGTTCAGCGAGGCCGAGACAACTTTCACCGAGTTCCAAAAGTCTGCATCGGGTCCAGGGCAATCCATGCTGTCGCCCGCCGCACGGGACACGCTGGTATGGAAGGCATCCATGAAGTCCCGCTCAAGCACCTGCACAGAGTGGTCCGTCGGGTCCTCCACCTTGTCGACGCAACACCGTTCAGGGACAAAGTTGTCATCCCAGCAACCTGGCTTTGGGTCCTCAAGGCAGCAGTCTTCGAAGGAGTAGCCATCGATCCAGCAGGCCGGGTCTCCCCGAATCCGGCGTGTCTCATTGCCGAACTCGCCCCCGCAGCACTTCTCTCTCGTGTAGAGCTCGTCCCAGCACGCCGGGTCTCCCTGCACACAGCACCGCTGCTCCTGGCATTGGTGCTGGGCTTCCGACTTTCGAAAACACCACCATACCCCAGAAAGAGATGCACAAAACTGAAGCGTTTCAAGTCACGTCGTACTCGCCGTGCCAGCATGTCGACGTGCCAGCATAGCCAGTGAGAGACACCCACAGCAGCAAAGGCAGCTGCAAGGATGTCTGGGTTTCGATACGCATCACAGAACCTGATGCCCGAAAAGAGTTTTTGGGGGGGGAGGGGTTTTGGGGGGGTTTGCGGGAGGGGGGGTTTTGGGGGGTGGGTGGCGGGGGGGGGCACAATATGCCACATTGCAAGGAATGCTTGCTTCGTCCAGCAGACGGCGTGGTTGGGGAACTTCGAGGCACGCAGGCTTCGCGGCTTCTGGGCTTCGGGTCGTCTGAAGCCCGAATGACAACATTTGGCAAGATCCCAAAATCAGCCAATCCTGTTGCAGACAAGTGCTGACCAGGCGGCCACACACATCAGACACGGATGGAACTGCGCCAGCGGCGGCATGAGCTTTACCCTAAGGCCTGCAGGCTCACGTTCAGCCGCAGCCAAAACGCTTCGCTACCTTCCTTTAAGAAAATTGCAGTTGCACGCTGAAGCAGAACTTGAAGACACGGCAGCTCCCAAGCACTTGGTCGACGTTCTCCCTCACTGTTGATCGCATGCACTGCGTGCTCTTACTCTCAGGTGATGGGCTGGGGTTAGTCATAGGTTTTTGAGAGATGTATAGATAGGTATTTCAATGATACGGTACGTCTATTGATTGCTGGGTTGCTTGGTGTGTTTGGTTGCTCAAGCAGGCCTAGCAGCTGGAGCCATCAGGGGCATGTATCGGCATGGAGAGTTGGTGGGTAAAGATCTTCCAGGATCGAGCAGTTCACAGAAGTTAACAAAGTAAACAAGCAGCCCGAGTCATAACCTCAAGCAGAGCCGCATCTTTGAGAACGAAGCTAGGACAACAAATGTAAAGACATGTCCCGAGGCTATTTCGTAGGGCCCTGCAGGGTATGGAGCACCCAGGGCCAAGGTGTTTGGGTCGACGCCCGATCTCCAGACCCCGCTGAAAGCTCCGCTGCAGCCCCGGCAACAAAACAGGGCAACAAAACAGCAGCAGAGCTGCAGCAGCAACAGCAACGTTAAGCATCATCGGCGTTGGCAAGGACCAGCAATAATGACGACTATTACGATGAAAGTACATAATGATGTCGAAACCCACAAATACTCCTTCAAGTTACCCAGAAGTAGCGCTACTGTCTCGCTTGGGTTTTTTGAGCTGCAATTGTTGTAGCAACAAGCACTCAGGATTTTCCTTCAGAACAACTAACAATTTAAAACAGTTGCGAACAATATGCACAAATAAATGGCAAGAATAGAAGCCTACAGTTAAAATCGTACATCGTAAGAAATCAACAAATTAGCAAACGACACTAACATATCACAACACAAGCTATAAACGCAATAACAACAGTAAAGGATCCTTCTTGAAAAAAGGCATAGAAAAATCACTGATAGCGAATATCTAACGAGAATACACGCTCAATCATACAAACAAATACACGGCCGAGTAAGGAACAAACGAAAACAAATATTTCATATCCTGAAACCTCTGAAACGTTGAAACCAACTACAGCATTTAGTCAACGGGTGGCCGTCTATTATTTCTGCTCTGAGGAGCTATCCGGTGAGCCGCGCCAGGCGACAGCTCCTCTGCAAGAGGGAGAGGGATGGAATCGGGGTGCAGCGTTTCGGATGTCAAGTGGTCAGCTTGGCGACAGCGGCAGATACCCGGAAAGGGAAGAATGGGAGAAGCAAACCAGTCACTGCATGAGACCAAAGACCGGTGAAAAGAACACAAAGTCAAAGCTTCGGCGGCCTGGAAGGGGCTCCAAGCCTCCGTGTCCCAGAGGCTGTAATCGCCCGGGTCCTTGAAGTTTTTGAGGCCAAGGCAAGCTATAAAGAGGATTCTTGGAGCATAGACGCCTGTCATGGAAGGAAAGCATGGGGAGCTTTGTAGGGCTTCGGCGTGGAGCGTGGCCGAATGGTAGCTTCATGCACCCTGTACAGAGCCTTCTGTGTTTGGCTCGAAGCTCCAATTCTTCAGCCCTTTCGATGTGCGCCCGAAGTACGCGCGACCGAAACTCAAGACAACTCAAGAATGTGCCCCTCAAAGCCCCTGACCTTATGCCTCCCGTTCCGGGCCCATGCATGCCAAGACGCATCTCGCTCAGCCCACCGGTAGTTGTAGGACTGGTGGTCCTGCCAGTAAGAACTCCGCCTTAAGATCCACGGTCACTGACATGCTGATCAATGCTGCCCACAAGCAGACCATGGGAGTCTGTCACTCCGCAAGTCGGAACTGGCATTTCGAAAAAACCAAGCCACACAAACGTGACCACTCCTCCCTGAAGCCTAGTTTCCAATGTTGAACATCAGCAGCTGGTGCATCAGGGGCGAATAATACTGGCGAATACCTTTAAGCGGGAAGAGTGCTTATCCCGCCTTGCAAGGATTGGGCTTCAGATTTCCGGACGCGGGGGTCCTGGTGGAACAAGTACTTCGACAGCTGCGACGGCATGAAGATGGGCATGTTCATGCCTTTCTCGGGGGGAGGCTTCGGGTTTAGGCTTGTCATTCAGCTCAACCCGCCGGACTGAGGACGCACTGTGCAACGCGTGCTCTTGCGCACTGTGCAGAATGAGTCACTCTTCCTTGCCTTGCCTATCCTCGGTTTCAGCTGACAACCCTCCAGTTAAATCTTTTGAAAGGGCCACACTGGCACATCCTTAGATCTTCCAATTCAAGAGCCGACAATCGAAACTAGGACAAGGAAGAAAGGGCAAGACCCGCCCGAACCTGTAACCCCAGACCCAAATTAAAACTTACACAAAGGAAGAGAGGCTCAATGATTGTAGCTTGGGAATTACGTGGACCCCCTGCAACACAAAAACCCCTGCAAACAATGAAGACACCATAGAACTCGTAGAAGGTGATGAGGTCCATGTCGTAAGGCCTTGTCTGAGAGCTACATGGTCCAAAGTTCCCCAACAACTTTCACTTTCTTCGCTTGGGCGTTCTGCCGCACTTCTTTGGAAGCAGGAACGGGGCCAGAGCCAAGTTCGAACTTGGCTCCCCCACGTTCCCCGTTCTCCGTCTTTCTATCTCCCCCTCTTCCTTCTTCATCTTCATGTTCTTCTTGCTGGGCTCTGCTTGTCATTGTTCTTTTCTTTTCCTGTCAGCCCTCCCAGCGGTAAAGCAGCGACAAACTGAACACTGACAACCGCTGGGCTTAGGATTACAAGTAAGCGCATGACAGCTTTAAGACTTGACAAAAGCCTGGCGGCCACAGGACCACCGCGCGGAACTGCGCAAATGTGCTGAACTTCCGATCCGTCATCGCCTGGGTGGCTTGAGAATGGCCACGAACCCGAACCGAACCTCTGCCACCTTTTGAGCCTATCAACTGCATGCCCTGCGCCTCCAATGGCATGCGGCCCTACAGCATGTGTCGGCACTCTAGTGACTCTGGTGCAGGTGGACGCGGAGCCCCAAACCAGATAACGCGAAGTCCAGCCGAAAAACCTACAGGTTAGCAAGATGTGGTCCTTAAACCGTCTCCTACACGCTGGACCCCCTGAGAGCCAAAGAGTGAAGCAACCAAGTCGGCAGGGGCACGCGCGTGCTGAAGCCTGAGGACTATGACATGTCGGTAGTGGAGGGCTCAAGTTGCTCTTAAGGTTGGGGTTCCATGTGCCCCCATGAGCCGGGGATTGGGCTTGTTTTGACCGACTGAAGCATATTGCAACGCCACGAGCATTAGAGACAAAGTGCCAAGAACTTACACTTCTGAGGGTTCTTGCCACCTGCCTAGCCACACGCGGGGGGTGAACGGGAGGGAAAACTGTTCTGACAGTTGCAAGCCCGAGTTAGGAAATGACGGAGGCAGGCGTATGCGATAGGGAAAAGGTTCAGGGTTTTCCCTTGCAAGCTCGGGTTGGGGAGGGCTCTCAGGGTTTCGAGTTGGGTTTTCGTGCTGTTTGCCCCGTCTGCTTTGGGTTCCCATGCCCTCCTAGGCAGAGTGCTACCATCTGCGCCAACACCAGACATCCTTGAGGCTTGAATCCCAAACCCCCCACTCACAGCTCGGGCAACTCGATGCATCAAGCGTGCCCCATAAAGCCATAAACTCTGCATCCTGGGAGCGGTAGGGATATTGGGTGCTGCTCGCGGACCGGAGCCGACCATCCCCAAGCTGCCAGTCCATGGGATCGCCTCCGGGGGCTCCCCCACCCCACCTCCCCCCCTTTCCCCCCCTTTCCCCCCCTTTCTCCCCTTCCCCCCCCCCCCCCCCCCAAAAAAAAACACCACCCCTCAACCGCGCAGTCCACACTGCCTCCCATTAGGCGCTGAATGGTGCACATCAAGATCGCCTCATGCGGACCTCGGCTTCGGGACACCCTTCTCAGCAGCAGTTGCAACTCCAACCATCCCCCCAATCAACTTGGGATGCGAATGTGCTATAGCCCAAAACTGTACTCCCACACCCGCAACCCTGAACTCTGGTCAAGGCCTCAAAGCGCAAACACGCAACCCCACGAGGGCCACCTGCCTACACCAGCACCACCATTTTAGCCACAGCCTTCCGTGAATCCATCCAAGCCGCGGTCCAACACCTTAGCCCAAGACAGCCGGACTGGAGTTTGGGCCAGACATGCGACTTGGTCACTCAAGGCAACCAGCATCCCCGCATCTCAGCCGGGTGAGTTTAGGGTGCTCCGCTTTTTACTGCGTACCTCCCAGCCGAGGGCTGCCCCTGAATAAAACGCACCTTCAAACCTTGAACCACGCAAAATGCCAGGCCTCTCTAACTCCAACGACTCTGTTGACACAAGTACCTGCGGCCCGAGCCACAAGCACCTCAGTGTCTCGCACCGGGATGTGCGTCGCGCCAGTGTAGAGCGCATGCGTCCGGATGATGGGGAGCCTTCTCTGTAGTCAATTGAGCTTTCAACAGCTCACGGCAAGTTAGACTCAAACCGAAAGCCCTAATCGAGAAACTCGGCTTGCCCCTCTCAGGGGCCCCGAGCAACTCTCTTAAGGTCTCAGGGGCCATTTTGTGGCGTGCAAACCTGAAGGCGGGGACCCGGCTTCCGGCAGCTGCCTTCCTTTGCTTCAAACCTTCCTCTTAACTGCCCCCCTTCCCACCCCCCGAAGAGGCAACAGCCAGCCCAAGCGGCGTGGGCTTGCCAACCTGGTACTCGAACCTGACACTTGGAGCGCATGACTCCATTCTCTTATTGGGACTAGCATTTGCCTAGGCCTCGAAACCGGCTGAGGGTCATTGTAAACGAGACTTGTCTGGCAACACCTTTGCACCGATGGCTTTGTTTAGGGCCCCCCCATACAAAGTTTTAAGGGCTTGCGACTGGCAAGCGAGTGTACATTGGAGGGCTGTAGGCGCCGTTTGTCCTTCATTCAGAAGTTGAACCCTACTGTAGAAAGGAGATCCGAAGCGAGTTGAGAATCATGTGTACCCGAACAAAACCGTTTAAACGCAAAACCCTCAACCATCAAGCGAACCTCAAAAACCCAACCGCGGTGAGTTTCTGTGGGGAACTCGGGCTTCCAAGGTTTGGGGGCTACGCGCTTGACGCCTCGGTACAGCAGGGAAGCAAGGTAGGAACCTTTGGCAACCCGAAACATCGCCATGCTGTTGTGTGACTGTGAGGGAACATCTTCAAAACTTGGGCGCTGTGGCTTTATCTTGGCTGAGGGCGGAGCTGCATCTGCAAGAACGGGTCGCTCACTGCAAACTCCTCGTGCGGGCGTCCAAGACTAAACTAAACCATCAAGCTCCGCTTTTTGCGGGTGCCCCATGGAACCCATTTCGCACCGATGCTGGGCGACAATGACCGGAGCTTGTGATTTTTGTTAGTATTTATATTGCTCTGATATGCTTTGGATGCACGCTGTCTTCGGGCCGCTTGTGGGAATAATCTCAGACTCTCTTGTTCGGAATCAGGGTTCCTACGTACTGTCTCAACAAAGGAAGTAGCACCAAGTACCTCTGCTTGGCAGCCATTCGAAGCAGTGACAGATGCTGAGGACTTCAAAAGCGGTAAACCACTGAACCATTTGCATATACATATATATATACATGTAGATTCAATGTAGATTTATGAAGTACCATGATAAGATAAAATGTGTTGTAGTGTGGTTTACTATAGTACAATATTTGTGAGATATACTTTCGTATAAAATACTGCTGTATGATATACTACTGTAAAATACTCTTTTGTATCATATACTACGGCATTTCACATTCCGCAAAAATACCCTTCAACCTTTTCAACTTTCAAACAAGCAGACGTGCCACATCCAAGTCTCCACGTGGTTTCTCTGGGCCATGGCTGCAAAGCGCTCCCAGTATTTCTCGCGGGCCGCCTTTCCAGAACTTTTGCGATGCTGGGAGCTCGAGCTAAGCGGGTCTCAGGGATGGCTGGGTTGGCGCTTCGAGTCGGCGCTTCAGTCTTTGCGAGTAACACTAACACAGAGCACACCGCAAGCTGTGCGAAACTGCTAAGAAAGCTCCTCTCCTCCCTTCCTCCCTTCCTCCTTCCTCCCTTCCGCCCTTCCTCCCTTCCTCCCTCCCTCCCTCCCTCGCTTCCTTCCCTGTCTCCATCTTCTTTCCGGGCCGTGCCGAAGCCCCCTCGACTACGAGAGTTGGTGCCTCTCCCTCTCCCTGTCCAGCACACTTCCCAGCTGAAGGTTCGCGCACTCGAGCCCACACTCCTAGTGTAAACCCTGTGCACATCTAGACATGCGCTCTGAGCAGTACTGTAGAAGCCACAGTTTGTAATCACAACCACACGACCAAAAAAAGCGCCTGGTCATCAGGAGCCATGAACCTCGCCATGTCTGCTTGTGACGCATGGAGCATGCTTTGCCATTTCATGTATCCAGGTGCACAGCGCTAAAGCTTTGCAGCCGTTACCACAGTTGAGACTTCTAGGGGTGACAAAATCGTCCACTGCGAGCCGTTTACACCAAGCTGGGAGGCAAGAGCGGGTGGCCGAAGTACCCCAAGACCGGCAAATCGAGGGACTCGAGCATGAGACACCTGTAGAGTCGCATGTGTCGTTCGTCTTGTTTCACACACGCGAGGCATCTCTGATTTGGCCTCTTGAGCCTCTTGTGCAGCAGAGGCTTATCCTCTTTGCTTGCGCACCGGCAACACCAAGACGCTGGAGAAAGACGCATCGCTTGATGCATTGGTCCAACAAGTCCACCTATGTCCACCTTGCCACCTTGCCTATGTCAACTCCTGCGTAGCAGTGAGGCAAGGGGCAAGTAAGCTACAGTGCAGAGCATGATGTCCACGTAATTCAGCCGGGCACCTGTCAAGCTTCATTGCAGCTGGATACATGTTCAACACGTGAAAGGGGAGGACAGTTGGCAGGTGACACATACGAGAAGCCACGGGCCAAAGCAATCGTGGCTTCCAATGCAGCCCGCGGACATGCGCGAACAAAAACAACCCACACCGACAGTCAGAGAGCGAGGGCCACACCCGCCACGGCTTCGAACTCCTCTGCCAGCCCGTCAATATCCGTGATGGGATCCTCTGTGTTGTTGGGCAAGATTTTCGAACGCTCGAGAGAGAGAGAGAGAGAGAGAGAGACAGAGAGAGAGAGAGAGTGTTGCCTTTGGGGGTTGGGTGCTCATCTTGTTCACTCTTCTGGCACAAAGGCAGCCATGCCCACATGTCGGCATCCTTGGACGTGGCACTGTGCGGGATACGCCGCTGGAAGAGCTGAGAGATCTCCTTTCAAGAGGCACACTGAAGATGCAACTGCTAAGCTTACGCTGCCTGAATATGCAACGGTAAAATATGCTGCGCAGGACGCGCTTGAGGACACCCTGTGCCTCCTGAGGTTTACGGCTGTGCTTACAGCCTGCGCTTTCCCGGACCTTTATCGTCAAGGATCCTAAGACGTGCTAAGCTCGGTGATTAGTTCGAAGCGTGCTCAGCAACCCCGTTTCCAGCACTCGTCATGGATGATGTGCAACATGCACAAGAAGAACTGCCTGCTGCCTGGCAACATCATCATTTTCGATGCACTTCATCTTAGGATGCCAGTACAGCGTTTCGCAGCGATTTGGCATCCAGACAGGATACTGGTCCCGGATAAGGTTCCTTGCAGCACTGAATCTCTGATATCGGGGTTCAAACCAGCATGATGCATGTTCCCGTGTCAAATATGTCAAAAGTTGGGCAGCATCTCCGGAACGGAAAGACTGCTGCAATCAGAATCCGTGGGGAGCTCTGAGTCTGAGAACCCACGACGTGCAAAAGCACAGCTACCAGACCCTTTGGTGTTCACCCCAAGCCTCTTAGACTTCCGAAGCCCAGGCTCCGGTAGTGCATCTCGGCCCCAGAAAGGATTCTGAGAAACATGTGGATGGGCTCCGCAGACAGGGATGCGTGCACCCCCACCTCCCAGACCTCAATGGTCACTGCGGTCAAGACTTGGGTCTGGCCAGCTACAACTGCATGACTTCAACGGCACACTGTAACGACGAAGTATCAACGCACATCAAAGGTGCCTCAAGTCTCGAAGGCAATCATTGTCGACTTCATTTGCCACAGCCCCGAGAATGCGCGGCTGTCAATGTTGGAAAATTTCTGACCCTGACCCCCTGCACACTGGATCTTGCACCCGTAAAAAAAAGCTCGTAACCCCCAACCGCCCTGGAGCTCACATCCTCGAACCCGCGCTTGCAGTGAAGAGGAGCCTCAATCCGGATCCGTTCGTGCTCGAAGGCCTCTGCCACGTGGACCGCAGCCAAACTTGCTTCCTGGGTCAGGCTCTTTGTCTTCGACTTGGTCTGCTCTTGTTGCGAGCCCTCGGCGAACCCAAGATTTCACTGTCCGAGCAGGAGAGGTCCACCATGCAGAACAAGGGTCCGCTAGCAGTTAACCCGCTGGCTATTTAGGCCACCAAACCCACAAAGGGTCAAAACCAAGGAGAACCTGAAAAAGGCTTACGTTCACCCCTCTGAGCCGGCCAGGGCCGTGCACCGGTACCCTTCACAAGACCTGCCCTTCTCCAAAGCACCCAAAAAAGGGGACCCTGATTCAGAACAGCCCAATGATCTCAAGAAGTCTGCATCGAAGAAGCTGGTGACGGCTTCAGGGGCATACCATAACCTAGGGACTCCAGAGCTGACATGAGTCGCCGTAACCCCCTTTTGTTTGCTGGAAACGGGGGCTTTCTGCTGTGATCGTAGTTGTAGCATCGGCGTGTTCCGACTCTTCCGAGCGTCCAGCCATGGTGAGACCAATGCGCCCGGATCAGAAGCCCTAGCATCCCTAGGCCACCCCCATCCTGTTCTCATATTGGCGCATGATTATCCCATCACATACCTCAAGTAATGCGCTCTTACGTTTTCATATTCTTGCATAATCATACTATTTCACGAACGTTCTACCGCGAAAAGAGGCCCGGCAGCGAGAACTTACGTCCCCGGGCAGGAGGAAGTCCTTCCGGATGTGTTAAGCTGAGGGAGTGGGAGTTCTTGACATGGGGCGTCTGCTGCAAGGAACACCTGATTCAAGGTTAGACCACACGAAGCCTACCCATCCAGAAAGCGCAAGAACTGCAGAATCGAAATGCGAAGAATGGTCCAAGGCCTCTATGGAAAAAGTTGGACCCAAGCATCACAAGGTCAAACCTCGAGCCGAGAATGCGAAACTGACTCGACTCTCCCATCCCTTGATTGTGAAGACGCTTGTCGCAGAAGGCCCGTAATCCACTGAACGTTCAGAACGTGTTCTTGCATGGAGAACCTCGAAACCGATCCTGATCACGGTCCGCAGCTTCTATGTTTGAAAGCACATCAGCAAGCGTGATCGGCCAGGCAGAGCCTTGGAACTTCAAAGGGTCAACTCAAACTATCAAGAAAGTCAAGGCTGTGCGGGTTACAGATCCTCCCCCCCCCCACCCGTGTGGAGCCGAACGTGCTTGAAGCTGCGATGCTGCAATAGCGGCTGACTTTGGCCGAGTAGCTCTCCGTGAAGTCCAAGGCATGGTTCAGTGTGGAGCCCAGAAGAAAGCTTGCATGCTGCAGCCTTGGGACATGATCACCGAAGGGAACAGATGAGCAGGCAAGGAAAGAATAGTCAATCTGGGAGCAATCGGGTGAAAGCGTGTGGCACTATGAAGCTTTGGGAAGTTGATGGCAGCCTGGAGCTATGATATATTATCATCACGACGCCTGAAAATTGGCCAGTCGCAAGCTTCTCCGATCTGGGTGGTCATGCCTCGCTACAACCTCAGCGGGCGGCTCAGCAGCAATTAGAACTTTGAAAGCTCCGAGGCGTTCAAGAGCCCTGCCAGCTGCCAGATAACGAAAGAAGCCATAAGTGGCAGACTTCTTCCTCTGGGTACCAGTGCGAAGTCTGAGCAAGGGTGACAAAATCAAATAACGCTGCTCGAAACCAGGTTCCCAGTCAGGCCCAGCCAATCCAGGTTTTGGCCTCTGTAGATCGCCGGGCACACGACTTTCCAACCCAAAACCCTCAACTTGCTTCAGCAACCTTGAATCTGCATGCCGCCGAGATGCCCAGAGGGCGGTAACCGCCCCGTACCTGTCAGCACCGAGCGCGAGAAACGATGAGGGCTAAAAGTATGTGGGGTACCCTCAATTCTTTCCAGAAACCAACCGTCCGACAATCCCACGTCTTTGGTTTCGACAGAACTTCGTCTGGGGCTAAGCTTGGCTTTAGGGAACCCGGTGCAATGGAAATCTGCCCAGGTGCAAGCAGAACTGGCTCGGCATGGAGGTTGACGGAGGAGCGTTGCAGCTTGCCTGGAAGTCGCCTCAATGTCGGTTGCACGTTGGCTTCGAGTTGTCGCTTTCTACATGTGCCAAAAGTGTCAGGAGCATCGCATGCTTGGCTAGTGACTGTTACAGTCCGACTTGAGGCGATGTTGCTTGTGCTTGACACCGGATTCTTGATAAGTTCTGCTGCATGCTCGTTACTCCACCGCACTCTTGACAGCTACACTGCCACATCGACAATGTCAAGTTACACGACTAAAGGCTAGTGAGTAGAGTCGGGGGCACCGTGGCATGCTGCACCGCTGCGAGACAACGCCCATCTGGGAGAAGGCGGCGATTTTTCACCCATTTGCCAGGCAGGATTACTCAACAGTTATCAGCAACTTCGCAAGAGCGTCGAAGGCTGGAGAAGCGGGACGGGGCTGCAGTCAAGGCAAAATCGATGCCAAGCACGGCAGGTCTTCGCGCCCTCACCGAAGCCACAGGCTGGCTCAGAGCCAGAAGCGTCCCTATTGGTCCCTCAATCGAAAGCTTGGCATCATGCAACAGCGGATCCCCCCAGAAACCACACGACAGACCACAAGCAAAACCAGCAAACAAATTAAGAACTGCAAGCCCAAGGCGCGCATGCCCTGGGCGGCCCCATAGGCGGCCTCCTGGTCCACCTCCGCAGGACGCCGGGCGTCTCGACGGGGCCTTCTAGTTTCGCCTTCATTGTCTTCCGGTGGTCTTTCTTCAGAAAGCCGTGAATTCGTCAAGGCTTTGAGGGTCTCAAGCAAATTGGGTCTCGAGGGTTGGGGCACGGGATTGCTTGGCTCAGGAACTTCCGCGGCGGGGTGGGCGGCATGCTGCGAATCTCGCATCCACAAATGGGTTGCCTTGGCTGAGTCTTCAGCCTCCTCCCTACACGAACGCTCAAGCCTCCCCCGCCAACCCCCTCCTCCCCCCCACCCCCCCACCCCCCACCCCCCCCCCCCCCCCCCCCCCCAAAAAAAAAAAAAAAAAGACCAGGGCCTCAATCGCGGGGCCATGCAGCTGGAGAAGGCCCTGAGCCTCGACTATGTCACAGGAACATCGTATCGTCCTAACGGTATATTCAGGGACTGTGTAGCTCAGCAGTTCTGCCGAAGTCAGCTCGATTGTTGCTTTTCAGCTCAAACGTCTCGCCTAATTATACGTCTTCGAGTTCGCTCGCTTCCCTCTCTGCACCAAACCTCCATCAGCTGCAGAACCCCCAACTTTCAGCAGCCTGATTCCCCTCGTGATCCCGTTTAATCCTATAGAACCTCAACCCCGACATCCATCTCCCAATTGTGGGAAATGCAGCAAGGAAGCCTTGACGACCAGGTCCACATCTCTGGGGTAGCCTGCTTTCGCATTCGCCTCGACCAACCTGCGACGCGAATCGGAGCCACTGATGCTCGTGGACCAGGGTCTGTCTGGTGGCGCTTGCAATAGGATGCCAGAACCTAGTAAGGGGTGTGTTCAGAGGGTCTACTGGAGGTTGCCCGGTGCGCTGAGGAGCTTTGCAGGTTCTAATCCCAAATCTTCGCAGAGCAGGTGGCTGCTGCTTTTTGAAATTGACAAGGCATGGTCGGCGAAGTGTACTGAAGAGCATTTCCTAGAGCTCTCTCCTTCCTTGACGTGGCCCTCGACCTCGTTTCAACGTAAGAAGCCTAGAGTTTCGAATGCAACTGTAAAGACATGAACCGTTCTCAACCAGGTGTTCCCCTATGTGCCTGCGAAAATCCAACCACAAGTCGTCGTCGGTGCCTGAAGCTCGCTGGCATCTCAAGGAGGCGTGGCGTTGAGTTGACGAAGGGACTTCTCTAATTTGGGGGGGGGGGGTCCGTTTTAGCTCCTACGATAATGCAGAACGTTGTTTTCGACGCTCACACTAAAAGGCGGAGTGCCCACAGACGTTTCCGCTTTACCGTGTCCACTCCCAACGCCGCCCAAGTGGCAATCGAAGAAGTCTGAGCCGATGGTGGCCGCCAGGCAAACAGCCCCTACGAGCCATCGGAGCAGATGGAGCATGGCATTCGGGCTTGGGATTTGGCTTTGAGGTCTCAGGGGGCCTCTCTCATGTTCGAAGTGGTGCATGAGTGCGGGGGAGGCGAAGAGGGGGAAAGGGAGGGGTGGGAGGGGGGTTCGGAAGCTGGTGGGGTTGCCTTTGGGAGGCCATGATCCCTGTCCACATGTTCTCGGGTTGCTTGCAGCTATGTTCTCGGGTTGCTCAGCCAAAAGGCAAAGGACACCCCAGGCTGTTGAATCACAAGCCCTGGCTTCGAACCACCAATGCTTTTGTAACAGTAAGGGCACCGACTGGTTGACTGCCGAGAACATGAAAATGATAAAAATGTGCCGTTGGACTGTTCCATCACTCACGACATAAAGCCTGAAGCCCAGCTTTAAAGCAGGTCCCTGCATGACGAGCCTACATCCACAGAAACTCTTGCAAAGCTAAACATGCCAAACGCGCACGTCAGAACAGCATGGTTCGAGACATGTCAACCCACAACCAAAAGCAACATATGCACACAACTCCATTATCCCAGCTGTGCTCGATAGCCTGGGCTGAATCTGGTTCTGGCAGCTGGCCGGGCTTCCATTATGCCAGCGTAGACCCCGTAAGAACTTCCCACCACATCTATGATCCTAGGAATCAGGGATGTAGGACAGAACCTGGGCCCCAAAGCCGCCCGTCCTGGGGAGACAGCGTCGAAGCCCTCAGGGGCGACAGTATTCAGCTTCGACTCCGGGGTCCACAACCAAGTACCCCTACGGCCGTAATTGCTCGGTTCCACAGCAGCTGGGCATCTTCCACATACCTAGCCCACGGGGGAAGAGGGGGGGGGGGGAGGGGGGAGGGACGAGCAGCGGTGCCAAGATGAACCTGGTGCTCAAGACAAACCCCTCTGGCTTTGGCAACAGCCTTGCATGACCCCATCATCGGTGAAAGCCATGATGCAGGATCTGGTGGGAAAGAGTGTACGTAGGCTGCTAAATCAGGAGGCGCACTAGACTCCCAACAACCATGCGCGTTTAAGAAAGCTGTACCTCAGATCTTTTCCTGCACTGGAGATGTCGCCCCGCCGACTGACTCTACCAGCAGTTCCGCACAGGAGCTTCGAATGCGACATTCGAAGCTGCAGCCGGCGTCGGCACGCAAGAGAGGGCAAAGGTAAAACTCCGGCTGCTGAACCACGAAGCTTGTAGACCAAACATCTGCATCACTCATCATCGGGAGCTCTGAACACCCAACAGCCAGTGAAGCAGCTGCCGTGTGAAAGGAATGTGCCGGACACTTCAGAGCAGCAACGGCGGCATAGGAAGCGGAAGCACCTGAAAGAGAACTCGTGTCCCACTTGTTGCGACTTCTTGAGTCAGGGCCGTCAACATTCCTGATCCTGAAGGCGTTCCGTTCGATTTCAGTCTTGCTTGCAAGCCCTGACCATAGGTTTTGAGATAGCAACTGGCCAAAACTGATGCTGTCCAGGTTCATCGTATCACAGCGCTGCGTAAACATCCGCAAAGCACGGCCAGTCTCCTGGTCGGAATGCAGCAATCTGGCGGCCAGATGCACCAGTTCATGCCGAGAGAGCAGACCATCGGCATCAGCATCAGAGAGCTCAAAGACGTCGTGCAGCAAAGATTGGAAAGGATCTTGTTTCCACCAGCACAGTGTGGATTCGAGCCTGCGAGTCAGCGTCACAGTGACATGGACCGGCGCAGTCGGCGCACAGACGCGGAAAGACGGAGCTTCCGAGAAGAGACGCGCTTTTCCCGGAAGCAGGGTCCCTGCAAAGCAAAAGTCGCTTCTGGAACAGCAGGTGACCTCTTCTATGACAACAGCATCTCCTGGACCTGACCATGTGAAATGCACACAGAAATGGCCGAAGCCACGGTCGCCTGGAAAGAAATGTGAGGGAACAACCCGATACTCCCACTTCGGAGGAAGCTTTGTGATGTCGAAAACAAGCGATACCTCCCTTTTGCCTTCAAACGATGTCTGATGCAGAATTCGGCGCCGGTTGCGCGTGCAGCTCTTTGCATCTGTCAGAACTTCCGGAAGGACCTCTTGGCAAAGAACCGTGAGACCAATCTGAGGAAATGGCAACCTTCCATGAGCGATATCCGCGTGCCGAAGCTCGGGCTGCGACAAGGTAACTGCCAATCGCATCTTGCCCGCTGGCAGAACCCTAAACATAGCATTCTCCTGAAAGGATGGGAAAGATGATGAGCCACCAGAGGTGCCTACCGTGACAGGGACGTCGTATGAAGACCGAGGCAAAGGAGAAGTACAAAACCCGACATGGCAAACGTACACTCGGTTGAACAATCGGAGGAAGTCGGTCAACTCCATCTCCATCCTTGGTGCCGAAACCTCGCCTTCGGCACTTGGATCGACTACGGAGACACGCTGCTGAACGGGTGCAGCCGCGTAGCTGACGACGTAGGTATGGTTCGGCCGCACGCCCTCAGCAGGAGCCTGAGCTCCAGCATCTGCACCCGCGTACCCATGCTCCGAACGGCCAGGCTCGGAAGTTCTTGCGCAGGCAAGCAGAGGTGCAGCTGCACCTCTCAGCTGCAACTCGGCCAGAAGAGCCTCAACTTTCGGAGACCTCATCTCAACAGTCGGCGCAGCCGTGAAGGTGAAGAGTGATTCGTCAACACGTCCACCAGAGAGGCAGGCGTAGCACCCTTGAAGCTTTGCACACGCCTTCTCAAGGAAACAGGCAAACAGCTCCTTGCCATCGGCATGATGAGCAAAAGCAGGTCTCAGCCGTGCACAGGGAAGGAAAGTGTCCATAACAACTTCTTGCCATATCCCCTCGTGGAACAGCTTGACCACGCACTTGCCTGGCAAGGCCACTCGGCGACAGCGGGATTGGGTTAGGCAGGGGGAGAAGACGATGCGCGAAGCAATAAACGCCGCGCTGTGTATTTGCTAAATGCATCATACATTTGGATGGAAATGAAATCCAGCACTCGCC